AGAGTTTCTTTTTTTTTGTAATTTATCATGTATTTTTATTTTTTCTGTATCAATAAAGGGACCCTGGTGGTCGATTTTGCAAATATACATTCATATTTTTATATATGAGAATAATAATTTCTTGGCAAAAGTAATCGGCATGAAGAATCTTCATGCTTACGTGATTTTTTTTATTTTGAATGCTTATGTATAGTGTATAGTTTTATAGATCATGACATCAGAGCTTGAATTATTGAGACAACGCATTAGCGAGCTTGAGACTAAGAACGCCAAGCTTGAGGCTGAGAAAGCTGAGATTGAAGCTAGGAATGTTAAGCTTCTAAAGCAGGTTATGGATGAGAATGCTAAGCATGATGCTAGAGTCGAGGAATTAGAACTAAAAAATACGGAACTTGAGGCCAGATTCTTGATGTTGAAACAGGGATCCTCGGTAGTGGATGGGCAGTCACAGAAGGATAGGGAAACGATAGCAGAAATATCAGCCATTGATGAATCTGACTCCGTAATAGATCAGCAAAATGATGTTAACACCAAGTTAATGAAAGAGGTACCTGAGGTGATTGCAGAGCAATCGGTATCAGATAAGGTAATAGATGATTTTATTCTCGAAGAATCTGTCAATGTACCTGACTCAGTTATAGCTAAGCCTCCGTCTATTCACGAAGTTCATAGTCAGTTAAATTTATCAGAAATACGAGATCCAGAACTGTGCAATCAGAATAGTTTGACTCTCACCCCACAGATTGAAGAGGTAGTTTTGCTACTAGATCAAGGAGGGTCATTAGAGGACAGAGAGATAGATACTTTCTTGGATGAAGATCATAAGAAAAGGATTAGTGAGGAAATAAAACAAAGGAAGCGGGAGAAAAAGCTTCGAGAAGGTGATTCACGGAAGAAGAATTTGGATTCAGAGCCATTCATAGCCAATATCTCTGGTATCAATTCTCAGGATTCTGTCATTCCCTTAAACGAAAAAGATGGACAAGATGTTTATCTTGCTAGTCTATCATCTGAATCATGTGTTGCTTCGCCCAGCTTTGAATATAGTAAGGACAGGGAAGTTCCCTATAAACAAAAAGTAGAAAAAGGTTTAGTATGTGAATTACTTGAATTCATTAGAAGCCATGAATCCTTACCGAATTCTACTGCATCTAGTAAACAAATTCCAGTCGATTCTGATCTAGTTCTGGGTTCTATACCTCATTTAGCTCACTTATTTGATAAAGCTGAAAAAACTGATCAGAAAGAAAAGTTACGTTGGTATTACTATAGTGAGGAATTCAAAAAAAAGGCCATAACTATTGCTTTGGGAAGCAATATTAGTGATCAAATGGTAAGAACGCAGATTTACGATGAAATGAAGCCCTATCTTCCAGATAAGAAGAGAGAGAATTTACGCAAGATGACTCAAAAAGCTAAAAATATTTATACACTGTTTAAAGAAGTAGGAATAGACAAAATCAGGTTAGTTACATACAGTGTCGATGCTATAAGAAGTTTAACGGGTGCACAAATTCAAAATATAATAAACCTTTATACTGCAGAATGTCAAAAAGTGATCAGCGTAAAGAATTCTTCATACTTATGTGATCTACCGGCTGAATCTTCTGAGATAAGCATTTCAACCTCACCTATTCTTTCATCTCATTTCTCTAATTCTCCAGATAATTCCTCTGGAATTGATTCAAAGAATTCGCCTGCTTCACAAAGTGATCAGCTCATTCCACTTCAGAAGAAGTTACCAAAATGGAAGCGTGATAAGGTTATTGATTTAGTGATAAATCGATTCAAAAGAACTACCTCATGCCTAGACTTTCATGCCAGTATAGATAGGGAATGTCTTAACCAAGTAGATTGCTACCTCATCCATGATATGCAAATCTGCCCTATATGCAAAAAAGATCATTGCTATCTGAAAGGCCACTGGTTGATCGATAGCGAAGGTAGTAAAAAATATTATTTAATTTGCGATAATATCCAAGAACCCGGAATCCCACTTAATGAGGTGTTAACATTATATTCTGAAAAAACAAGTCCGGATAACTGGAATCATCTTCTGAAAGTTCCAAATAGAGAAGTAACAGTGAAAGCGTAGGGAATAGCATGTTATGTGACATGATGTTACGTGATTTTTTTAGAGAAACCAGGGAATCAGTTTTTACGCCACTTAATAAAGTAATACATGTGAAGAAAAGATCTGGTAATAAGAAGACGAAACCTAGGAGGAAACCTAGGAGGAATCCAACCTGAGCTTGTAAGGAATCAGCCAAATTATCTAGTAATGGGTAAGAAATCTAGAAATAATCTGCGCAAGACTACAGGGCTGAAGGCGCTTTGCATAAGTTCACTACTAACCCCATGCAGTACTTACTATTATGCAATCCGACCAAATATGATCACACATATGATAGGGCGACAGGTTTTATCATTGTCAAGAATATAAAGGAAGACAGGGTAGTAAGTGTGTTTGATTACCCAGAACTTTGTGGATATTTAAAAATACGATCTAATTTAGAATAGAGATTATTAATCAATTATTTTTTTCTGAATTCCCATTTAATATCTTACCATTCGGGAATCCATTCAAAGAGTTTGCAAAACTTATTTTGGTGAATTTCTATCCAAAATATATTATGACATATTTTCTCTATTTTAGATGCTAAATCCCATTTTAGAGATACATCTGCCTTTTTTATCTCCTCTTTTAATTGTTGATATTTAGCTTTATAGATATCTAGTCGTCTAAATAACTCATAGCGTATAGAATCATGCTAAGCTTGATTAATATCAGGTATTTCACTAAATCATTTACCAAAAGGTTTGCAACTATAATTAATATTATTTCTGGGCACTCAAGAGGATTATATGTATACATGGTAATGCTAATCTTAGATAACCTAATATAATTAATGAATTTTCCAATCTAGCTAATCCGGAGTAGTGATCTTCAACTCAGAAAAATTTACTGAGTCATGCACAGCACCTTCAGCCAGATTGTGCGACAGAAAAATAAGTAGATCATCAGATAGGTTATACAATATATTAATTTTTGCGTATTAAAAAGTTATAGTTAGTTTTCTTATTTTGCGGGATCACTAAGAGATCATCAGCTGAATCGAGATCAGCAAATTAATAATATTAGGGTTGCTATATTTGCTCCATGTTTTGCGACGATCATAGCCAGAATTGCGAAATTGGAAGATAATCAAGCACAGAACGAATTAATAAAAAATTTAATGTTTGTATCGCAAAATACGTAATCCTGTATTACTAGCAGATTTCTCGTGATATTAGCGCGTAAATTTCGTCTTACTCAATAGTTTTGAGGAAAAATTCTTCTCATTAGTTGGGGTACTTTTTTCCTTGTACTTCTGTAAAGTAAAATCCCAGTC